GTACCTAGAACAACAAGAACAATTAAGAGCAACAAAAAATATGTGATTTTGCAAAATTAATGTCCATGTTAAACGTAAAACACATTTAGAACAATTTGAATCGGCAAAGATTGAGTTATTTTAGATTGTTCTATGTTTTTTAATTCATATTGTGTAATATAAAACCGCTGACACAAGAATTACTGACTGAAACTTCCAAAAACTTTAATTTTCAAAGAGTAAAGTGCCCTTTAGAAAGTTGTTCTAGTGAAAATAATAGCTGTTCCAGATTGCGTTAGCTATAATAAGTATATATTTGTAATATGGAATTGATAATAGAAAGACTATGGTCACAGCAATCAACTAGACATTTCGGCGGCCAAACGTATTTTTAGTTATAACTTCGTAATGCTGTATCCCATAATTTTGATTTTCTAGAACAATAACTAGAACAACTAGAACAACCCAGAACAACAAAGAAAAATTGATTTTTCCAAAAATGGGGGGCTAGTCAAAAAACCTGTTTTTTCGGTTTTCTCGCGGAGTTTTTATTTTTTCGATTTGCCGCTTTGGAACAATGTAGAACAACTCTAGAACAATCTAGAACAACAATAAAAAATTTAAAAATCAAAAAATGGGGGGCTAACTTCCCGCACTCTGTTTAGAGTTGATTTTTACTCTATATTTTTTCCTGTGTATGAACCTTGTGATGTTTTACCTAAATTATCATATCCTCTCGTTATATTTTGAAGTGTAATATGTTTCTGGTTAATTTTTCTTTCTTGTTAGTCCCAAAACCTATAAATAGGATTTGCTTATATTTATAATTTTTTAAATTTACTTTTATGTTTAAATTCTATTATAACCTATAATCTATCAAAATGCCAGCCCAATTCTATAATTTTTTTACTGGCTGTCAAAGGTCAACTTTTCGATGCCATCTCAAATTTAAAATGGCTCAAAGCATTCGTAAAGTCAAAATACAACAGAATATCTATCTCCAATCAAAAAGATTTGAAAGTTTTGGCGATCCTAAACCGAACATTAAATCCACCAACGCCAACGACCACTTTGTACCTATTTTTAACTGGGAAGAAGAATTGAGAGCAGTAGTAGTAGGTTCTGGTCATCGTGCGGCAAAAGCCAACTGCAAAACCGGAGGCGTCGTCGATACACCATTGTGATTTATACAGGTCGGCGGGACCGAGGAGGTCGGGGAGAGCCAGTGACCTTCCCAAGGACTCGCCGAAGGCATAGCGGGGAACACCGACGGGTGTCCGCCTGGAGGAGACCGAGCGAGAATGGGAGAGGGAAAGATGGAAAGAAAGACTCGCGAATGCAGCTGCACGACCGAACCGGTTCGCGATAAAGACGTATGAAAAGGGCGTACGAATAAATGCTACGGACAACTGTACGACAATCCGGTCGATTTTTTATGCTCTCCGCAAATGGACGCCGAACGAGTCGACCCAAAAGTAGTGCGTCTGCCACGGTCGAAGAATGAAACGTCGCCATTCAGAGGTCGTATTAAGTAGGAGGTGCTCTTCTCACAACGATAACCAACAACTTAACGTAACAAATACCACAGCATAGTTTAGACTAATTTAAAAATTCGCGCGTTCTTTTCAACTGTTTCTCAATTTCAAATTATTCAAAAACAAAACCACCCATACAGTTTAATGTCATAATTGTAGCGCACCGAAGGGTGATGGTAGTCTACATAAGAGGTTCGTCATCTAATTTAGCGTCGAAATCAGCAAGGAGGCGTCGATGTGCTCGTTAAGCCGACGGAGGGCCAATTATGGGTTCAAGGATGCGTCCTGAACAACGACGACGACGCTAATTCGCTTAAACTTTAACAGCGCAGCCTGCTTAAGTGCGCCATCACGACGGCCAGCGCCTTTTCCGTCCGCGGCCGGCCGCAATTTTCAAACCGACAGGCGTGAAGAGCTCTCCAAGACCGCGAGACAAAGGAGCTTGGAAGAGTCTTTTCTGTCTGCGTGCTAATGTGGAAGGAGCAAATGTACACTTTTAAATGGTCCTTAAGGTTTGTTAATTACCTGTGAATTATTATCTTGTAAATGCGTTTGTTTTAGCTACAGGTATTCCTCACTTAACGACTGAGATAGGTTCGTACAATTCGGACGTTAAACGAACAATACCTAACATAGTAAACATTCGAACATACTATATAACGTTAAACAAGTAGGTTATTAAGTGAAGAATGCCGGTAATAATCCTACAGCCTACCTAGGTAGGTATTTCTCCAGTGTGCAGCGGAACAAACCGATTAAATATATTTATTTTGAAATTTAACTTTTTTTTTTAATTAACACTATTCTGATTTATTGATAACGTCTGATTCTACCAGCATTACTTGACGAAACATTAAGAAAAGAAATTTTCTAAACAAACCTTTTAACATTTGCTTAGTGATTATCATCAATATTTCACTATGACTAACAAAAATTGTTAGTAAGCATATAATTTTACCAGTAAAGAAATGATAATGTGAATGCTGTAGGATGGTGTGGGACTTTAAAGAGCAACGAAAGAAAAGAAAAAAGCAAAAGATTTTGCAGGTCCATAAATACCGCCTACAAAGCGAGCAATAACGCACTCGGACAACTCAAATACCGCAATTTTACAAATACGTCGACATGGCGGCACGTAAATTACGACTGAAAGTATAAGTTGAAGTTTTTTGGAGCTCGAAGAACGACCACTTTTGTACGCGGTTATTTATTTCCTGGTGTGCGACTTAATGGTCGGACTGCTCGTCCTCATCGTTCTTTCGATGAAGGGCGAGTGTACCGTTACGAAAAAAAAAAAAATACGTTTAAATTCTTTACAATATGCTATTTGTGGTTTAAGTTTAAAATGTTTATTTTACTATTGTTATCCTCATTTATATTAAAATTTTGAAACTGTTGTTTTGTCATTCATTAGTTGATCTTTTAAGTAAATTGAGCGATTTATATAAAGAAGAGATTTACCGCAATTTCAGCGTAAATTTAGCGTATTAAAGGTTGAAATTATAGATCGATTGAAAGTTCACAATCGACCAATAAATCCCTAGCACACCGACGTATGAACTAATTTTCTATTCACCGTTTAAATAATGACCGTAAATACATCAGTTAATTTTACAACGAATCTAGAGCATTTCGACCGGTCCTTCTATGGTCAAAATGTCAAGGCATTTAAAGGTTAGTTCCTTGCGAATTCTCAACCTTGTTTGTGAACATAATAATGTGGAAATCTTAATGCAACCCACCAGACTGTCTTCCTCGTAATAAACGATCCATTCTAAAAAAGCAAGGAGTAATTGAGGACATTACTTTTCTGTGAATATCCGGGCTTCACGACCGAACAGGCGATTCTAATTACGACAGCGCCCCCTCTAATGGTTTCTAGTTTGCAGTTACGCCAGGTAGATGATGTTAGACGCGCGCTCCAGCCTATTATTCCTTCGAGCTTAATGCTACGATTTTAGTTTGAGAAATTAGGTTCGTTCTGTACTTGATGGAGTAAAATCGCTTCACTAGTTAATTGGAATGCTGTGGATATATTAGAATTCTTCAATTACCAGAGATAGTTATAACGCCTATTTGATAAAAACGCCTTTTTGATATACAGGTGTCTCACGTAACTGGTTCCTTAGCACTTAATTGGTTTTAACCTTTTTTTGGTAAATTTCAACATGCTCTTTAAAACCCCATATCTCAGCCAACGTTCATTCAAAAAAGATCTACATGAGCACTATTACTCTTCAGATGTTATCAAACAGATTGTTACTTGTTGTATCGGAGTATCTTATACAGGTGGTCAAAAATTGAATTACTGATTCTCTATATTCAATAGCGAGAAAGTCGAAAATTTTAAATAGAGCACCCATTATTCTTTTAGCCTATCAGAAAGGGAATTTAATCCTCTACAAATTATCTATAAACATTCCAATACCTATTTATTGTAGTTTGCCTCGTATTGGGAAATTTATTAAAACTTGCATTTCCTGCATGTTTTGATAAATTACCCAATATGAGAGAAACGGCCACTTCCGGTCTACCTGTATTATTTACATAGATTAACTATTTCAATTCCGTGAACGTAAAGAAATTTTGTAGGTATTATTCCTTATATTTTTTATCGATAATACAAGTGCGTTTATACTTTTGTCCTATATAGTATAGTCTTTACAAGAATTCGGATATTGATTTATTATTTAATAAGTATAATAGACATGGTAATAACTGTTTGACAAAAAACATGTACAATGGCAGATGATGACCCCAATGCCCGTTTTCTTCGATAAAGACCGCTCAGTTTACGGTAACGGTACCATACCGCCCGCTTCAGGTCGGGAGATGTGATCACGCCGATAAACAAAGACACTGGAAGACGAAAAAACAGTAAAACACTTTGTGACCGAGATTTGGATCCCGAGGTATGGGAACTGTACAATTTTATATAAGATATAAAATGATCCATACACGTAAAGAGGAAACGCATGCGCCAGAAATAAAACTAAAACTAGAAACTTCCTGGTTATGTTGTGCATCTATTGAAATATTGAATGACGTTTCGAATGCCATGTTGTAACCTGAATTTGCATCCGAAGATAGACTTTTGAAATGCAATGAGAATTGGTTAATACAAAGAGCAAGGTTAATGCGAGGTTAATGCAAAGAGGCGATGCCGAAAAAAGATAGAAAGATCAAGGAATCCTTTCGCGGGTGTGCGTTAAAGCTCAAAACAGAAATACAACAGAAACAATACGTACGTGGTTCTATAGTTGGGTTTGCAGGTATTTTTGTTTCTTTTTGTATGCTATAAGCTTTACAATACCGAAAAACCGTATAAGGTGCAAGTACTTAAAAACTTCCACGAAGCGAAGCATTGCTTTGTTTGTAGATGCCAGAGATAAGTGTAGTACCTAGTGTTTCTTATAAAGAAATTCACTTAGAAAAGATGGAATGCACCTTAAGACTATATAATTGTTTATGAAAGAATGACAGACGCGACAGAACATATTTTGGAAATGAAAGAAATCTATTGCAATCAAAAGACGGAGAATTTTGATTAATTGCTACCTGGTGATTTGATCGTCTCAAGTACAATACTTTACAATACAAACTAAAATATTATGAAACCAGTCAACATTATTCCATCCACCGCAAAATCATCAAAATAAAACTCGCGTCCTTTTTTCTTGTATGGTCCGACAATGCGAGTCCAGTCAATAAGATTGGTAGGTATCCTACCACGAACAGCTCCAAAATACTGAAAAAACGAATATCTAGTGCTATCGTCTAGTTTAGATTCCATGACATTAAACATATTGTTATTAATTCGAAAATAGTAGAAGTTGCTGCTTTAGTTGCCGCTTGTACTTTCAACAAAGGTATCTCAGCTCTGATTTTATTGCACGGCATGTATATAAAACATGGCCGAAATAGCCACAAGTACGCGCAGAAAGAGGATGAACATCGCCTACTCATAGCTAAGAAAAGAGCTCAGGCTACAACTCAAGAAGCAAGAATTCGTCCCAGGCAGGAACAAAAGGATGCCCTGGACTTTGCAGCTGCAGCAGGATCTATGCATTGCAGAGCTGGAATCGACGATTCTATTTAAACGCCGAAAGTTCGAATGATAGTGCTACTGTTTCAGTGTAAGTGCGAGTATTAGTTAGAGTGCTGGTGCTAATGCTAGTACTAGTTCTTGTGTTAGTTTGAGTGATAGTGCTAGTGTTAGTTAGACTGTTAGCTGTAGTGCTAGTATTAGTTCTTATTTAGAACCGACGTTGAAAGTCGGTATCCTTCATAATAATATATCTCTACGTAAAAAAAATTCTATTCGGTTTATTCTTACCTTTTACCTAACTTTCTTCTAAAGGCGTTTCCCTTGTTTTTGAAGTCGGCTGACACGATTACTTGCATACTTCTTCAAAATAAGATTGACTAGTGACTTAAAACTTTATTTTTGAAATCGGTAGACACGATTTCTCAGAAACTAATGCATTGATCTTATCGAAACTCTGTACACTTGTTCACATTAATATTAGCTAGATATTTTAATTTCTTTGGTTACAACTGATTTTACAAGGCTTTACGTGGTGAAAATTGTATCTAAAATTAAACCTTTTTTTTAGAACTTTGCCAAAAATTTAATTTTGAATATCCACCGGATAATATCTAGCTATACTTACCTGCTAACAAAAAAAGGGTTTTTTGAATTAAGATTAACCGTTTCTGAATAAACATGTCTACCGCAAACCACATCTTTTTGAGGAGTCGTAGAAAACCAGGTCCCACTATAATAAATATAATAACTTATTTATTATATTAAAAAAAAAAATAGAAAACATGCTTTTTCGAAACCTCCGAAAAAGATGCAAACTAAACATTCAAATATATTTTTTTTAAACAACAATCAAAACGTTATTAGAAAAAACGTAAAGTAAAGAGCAACATATAGAGTATTTAGACAATATATTAGAAAATTTTAGTTCGAAAGTTTTTCAAAATTCAGCCAGTGGGATCTGGTTTTCTACGACTCCTCAAAAAAATATGGTTCAATTTTTGATACAATTTCCACCACGTAAAGTCTTGTAAAATCAGTTGTAACCAAAGAAATTAACAAGCCTTCCATTAATAAACCACTAAAAAAACTTTCTACTTTACTTCTTCCACCTAAAAAAATATGACTTTTTTTCTGGATTAAAAACAAATTGAAGTTTTTAATTAACCGTTTTCTAGATAAAGCAAAGGTTAATATGATGACGAAGTAAATTTTTTAAGCAACCATTCTAGTGAAAGTAAGAATACAGAAAGTAAATGTCGTACACTTAAATCCCTTAACCTTATAATATCCTAAGGAAAGAAGATGAACAAATTCCTAAAATCTCTCCCTTGTAACTATGGATTTGTGTAATCCATTTTTTTATAGTTTAGGTTTTAATATCATACACAATTATCAAATACATATTGTTCTGCAGTTGTTTTATCAGACTTACACTTTTTGTGGAATTGTATGCAGAGCGCCCTTGTAGGAATTTGTACGAGATCTACTCTTACTGTCGTTATTACATCCTCACAGACGAGTCGTAAACCAGGTTGAGCATGCACGTACATTAATTCTTTAACTGAAAAGTGGAAAGTTCTAATACTCAACTACTATTTCTTTAAATCGTAAGTACCTGTTAATTACAAAGAATGCGCTATGAATTATGTATTTCAATGATTGCATTGCAAGATAAGTTTTAGCAAATGGTTTTTTGCTCTCGTTGATATTGTACAACTTGTTAGAGTTTGTCC